GTCAAAAGTCAAGCAAAAATTGGACTGATATTGGGCACTATTTCAAGCACAATTTTTTGAGACGTAAATTGTACCTATAGCTCGTTCGATATTCGCGCACTGAGGTGAGTATGCTGGGCGTAGAACCTACGCCCAGCATACTCACTGAACGAAGCCTATAACTCCGAAGTTATTCGAGCACTGTTTTTTCTTTTTGGGCACCGTTTGGCACTATTTGGGAACTATTTTTTGAAGTATGAATTATGTTTGAAGCGTATACAGATTCTCCGGACGGAGGTGAGTATGCTGGGCGAAACCTTCGTCCAGCATACTCATCGAACTATGGCTATAACTTCGCAAGTACAAGAGCACTATTTTTTTCCTTTGGGCACTATTTAGCACTATTTCAGAACAGTTTTTTGACATTCATGAAATATCAGGATTCCATGGTGAGTATGCTGGACGAAGGGACACAGTTTATCGTGTGTTGCATGTAAAAGGCTCCTTTTACCGGTTTAAATTAGGTTGTACTTCGATAGGATGGGATAGCAGTCTAGGAGTGGGAGATAAGGCAGTGATGGGAAGAACGGAAAAAGTTGTAGGGAATTTTAAATCTAGAGCTATACACAGTTATTACGTAGATACATACAAATAAATACCTAGGTAGTCCCAGTTTAGACCAGCAAGTACGGTTCTGTTCTTGTCAGTGATCCGTGATAAGACAATCAGTAGCTACGTGCGGTCTCAGGTTAGAAAATTTGTATTATATATAGATACAGAGTTGAAGGAGTTATTAGCTCGTTCTTGGACAGGATATGAATTGCAATGTTTGTGTCGACCAGGAAACGCAGTCGCGACACTACGACATCCGGCCACGGGCCATCGCGGCACCAGACTCGACATTTAAGTAGGTACCTACCTAACAGCCTCTTTTAAACCAACTAGAGTGATTAGTGATTTTATTGCCATAATCCTCTCAATAGCGTTCCTTATTTCTTTAATTACAATATTGTAGTTTCTTCAAAAATATTAAGTACTTAGGTACCTACAACGTCTTAGTTCACGATCTCCAGCAAAATTCATAGAATCGTTTTTGATTGTATCTGACTAACTAGCATATTGACAGGTAAGCGTTGTTCAACTATCATTGCGAGTGCCGTATGTCCTAAGTTCGACTAGTTCTTGGACTATAATCTACTCAAATTTTTCAAGACCCGGCAACGCGTCTGTGACTCCTTTGGTGTTGCGGGTGTCCATGGGCGTCGCTGATCGCTTACCATCAGGTGATCCATATGTTCATTTGCCTCCTATTCCATAAAAAAGTTACCTATCTCAAAAAATGTACCTTGTTCACAAACTCTTTATAATATGCAGATATAGGTGGTAAGTAATTACTATTACATCGCGCCACGACGATGTATGGTACAGCCCACATGCGGCCACATTGCTTACGATAACAGATGATAACGTGCATACTTTTTGCATTATTTTGGTTGTAAACTAAAGTTGCATCCAACAATCCAACATTTTTCTTTTTATCTTTCTCCTAACTTCCTAACTAAATGCTGCAGAACGCTGATTTGGCAGTATTAGGGAGCATTTCTCTAATGACAACCCTCCACAAGTTCATATCCCCTTCCCAGTTGAATATCATTAACATCATTCAGTAAGTACCTATAGTACCAATTTTTTTTTTTTTTAAGGGGGGAAAATCATCGAATGGCTGGCCCCCGCCTGGGTGAGGCGGGAGGGAGTGTCAGACTCTTATTGACTAAAAACCACCCTGTTCCTTCTCCTGCACGTCGAGCCGGAGCCCCGGTTACCCGTTAGGTTCTCCGCGACTACCTATAGTACCAATAGACTCATATGATTATAATGCCTATAATATTATATATCATAGTCTCAAGTTTTAACATGTATTTTATTAAATGAGTTAAAATTCCACGACTACTGATTGTATGATCAAATGCTAGATTCTGGTTGAATAAATCCTTAGCTATACACCTAATTAGAAGATATAGGATAGCTGAGCAGTAGTGTACTAGTGTCACAAAGGAAAATTCGCCAAAAGACAAGAACACATCCAAAAAAACAATTCTATCAATTAGGCACCAGTGATGGACAGTCGTGACACCAAAGAAGTTAGAAGTGCAATACTGGTCTTTAGGGGAGGGGAGATTGGACGGCTAGTAATCACCAGCCATATAGCAAAACAAACAGGTATTGTTTCATGTTTCTGTGAGTCCATTGTCACTCTAGATCGGTACACTTATAATCTACTTTTATGAATAGAAATAGTCATATCTCTATTACTATTACAACTATGAAGAATAAGTTTATTGTGTATATGATTGATTAATGCAATTTATGGTTTATAACAGTCTTGCCAACAAGTTATCTAACTGTTTATGGGAGGTAAATCTTTATAATTAAATAAATAATCAGTATGTGTGCACTATGTACTGGTACTGCTAAAGGACAAGGCAACAATGATGTGTATTGAACATTAACATTATAGCTTATGATAATAATAACTTATTCGTTCTGAGCGGAGCTGAGATATCTGGTTAGTAGGTTGTCTCAAGGTAGGGTTTTCAGGAGTTGAAGTATAATTATGTTTTTTTAAACTGTCAAACACCAAGCCGTCCCCGGTGACTGCAACATATTGTTCTATAATTGTGTCTATAATGACGGTACTCAACGAGTTAAGGGGGGAAAATCATCAAATGACTTTTCACGCCTGGGTGAGGCGGGAGGGAGTCAGACTCTTACTGACTAAAAACCACTCCATTCCTACTTCTGCACTTCGAGCCGGAGCCCCGGTAACCCGTTAAATTATCCGCAACAGTATAATTATGCGTGACTGTACAATACCCAAGCGGTCACCGCACTCCGCTCTCCACTAACACCATTATAGACCTTACTTCCAATGTTTAATGTCGACTTTTGTCTAGACAAATTTTGGCTTATCATCATCAACAACTTAAGGGCATGATTTCTTTGTTGCTAATATTGCCCAATATTAGCAACAAAGAAATCATGAATTTGTCAGATAATTTTTTTTTTCAGAATTCTGATTTATTCTGTTGCAGTTATGGATTGACCTTAAAACAATGGTAGGTACTAGTATAACATAGAGCGAAAAAAGTACCCATTACTTTTTATCAACTTTTATTTTTTATTTGGGTAGGAAAGAACGTCCAAAAATATCAATAATGGAAGCAATCAAAATAAAAGTTTACCTTGTCGAGTAACAATAACAATACGTATATATCCTAATGCCTAAAAATGTTATTATAACAATAAAAATAAACTTTTCGAGTGCAAAATGCAATCTCTACAACTACAAAATGAAGTCAATGCAATGTCATGTCACTCTCATGGTGTCATTACATTATCACAACTGTCAAATCCTATACAATCGCTAAGGTTGCAAAAAGTTGCAAATCGTAACAAGTTTGGAATAACTGTGAATAACGATATAAATAACGGTTATTGCTAAAAAACCTAATAATAATGAATTTACCATCATCTCATAAGAAAATTATGGTGTTCAGGAATATCAGGTAAAATCACCAAACAAGTGTATTTATTAATATTTCTCCTGGTTTTTTTCCTATGATGAATATGAAGAATAAGGACAGTAGTCAGTCAGGTAAATATATTATCATTTTATATAGGTAAGTACGTTCTCGTGTAGTCTCATAAAATTAATAATCTGATCATTTGTGCCTAATATCTTATCATATTATTAACTGTTCTAAAAAGTTGAAAGTGTAACTGATCGTTTCGCTAGTATAGGTAACCATCATATTTCGTAAATAGTAAAAACGTACAAATTAAAAACATTATCGGTTTGATTTTTTTATTGTCTGGCATATTAATACATAAAAATAGTACCAAAATAATCAGAAGTGAAAATTCTTCAATAAATATCGGTATTTCAATAAATAAAAAAGTAAATATAAGAGGATTATTTCAATAATATTAAGTTCTCAGCACATCAGAAAATAAAATAAAATTGTGATAATAAACATCCAAAATAGCACTTTCGAAAACGAATCACAATGAGGTAGGGAATAGTAAGTTCAGTAAAATACTGTCACGACAATATTTCCACAAAGTGTAAACAAATGCACACAATTAACCTTTCTATTGATATGTTAAGTTCAACCAGTAAACCCTATTGTGTGTTGTCAAATAAGATTTATGCATGAAAGTATGTGAAGATTTAATGATTGAATAACATTATGATAATTCACATGTCGAAGCTTAACAAGACTTAAATCTATAACAAAATTGTTAACCCATAAATTATGAGATACAAAATATCACTGCGAATATGCTAGTTATTGAGAATGTCGTATACAAACAAAAGTAAATAAGTAACAAAACAAGAAGTTTCATTTTTGGACATCTATGAGACGTAACTACTTACACCTACTTAAAACATAATTTATTGTAAAATGTACCTATCACATAAATACACAATACACAATTAAATATAAATTAATATTCAATAAACACAGTTTATAGTAAAATAACGTAATAATGAAAAGTATTGTAATTTTTTTATAGGTACTGCGTAATCAAACCTGCGTCTCATAGACATCCTGTCTAACAATAGTAAAATACTAATTTAAATAAAATGTAAACGAATAAGAGATTGTCTGAATTTAAATAAAACTTGCTAATTCATTCAAATGCTACTTTGAATGCGCTGTCCAAATCTGCTAAGAGGTCTTCAACATCCTCTAACCCAACAGAAAGCCTTATCAGTGCATGTGTGATTCCAAGTTCTTCACGCTGCTTCTCGGGAACTGACGCATGTGTCATCAGCGAACTAGAAGTCAAATAACGATGAATTAGACAAACATTACCTTCACTTAAAGCTTAAAAAAAACTTAAGCTACAAGTATTAATTTTGTGTAACTTACGGTAATTCCGCAAGACTTTCATATCCCCCCAAACTTTCTGCCAATGTGAATACTTTCAGCGAACTTAGAAACTTTCTTGATTCTTTTAGATCTCCAGCATGTTTGAAACTAAAAACTCCAGAATGACCACTCGTTTGTTTTTTGGTGATATCATATTGTTTATGGGAAGGCAAGCCTGAAATCAAAAACAAATTTGTTAGCATTTTATCAGCGACGTATGTATAGTAAATACATACATGTATAGTAAATATATACATGTATAGTAAATACATACGTAGATTAAGAATAATATAAAGCTCAAGTCCTGAATAGGCAAGGCAATATTGTTCAACGTACCTGGGTGCATTACTTCGATAACATTTGGATGTGACTCTAACCATTTGGCAACTACTAGTGCAGATTCTTTATGACGCTCCATGCGTAAAGCCAATGTTTTCAAACTTCTGTTGACTAAGTAACTATCAAATGGTGATGGAACAATTCCCATTGCTGAAAAGATATTACAAGAAACCATTATTAAAACGTACAAGAACAAAACAAAAAGGTATAATTGTAAGTTTGGACTTTGCTCCCCAATAGTAGACTGATTGTTCAATGAGCATAAACAATTTACATTTTATCAATGAGGTCTTAAAATGCGAAACAAGATCTGCATGATAAACTATTATCGTACACGTCTCTTTGTAGGTAAGTATCTTATTTCACGTTGTATTTTCAGTTGAGTACTTAGTGAAGAAAAAGATGCGAAACATTTTCGTTTACAGAAAATTTCTAAAGGATAATTAAATGTTTTAGAAAAATGGGAATTCATTGTGGTGTAAAATAGAAAGACTTCGTTACTGTAATTTCATCACTAGTAAAATGAGTCATGCTAGGCTATACCGGTACGTAAACCGCAAGTCATTGTATACAACTATAATAATAATTGAACTGATAACGTTTCTGTACGTCATCACCTAATACAACTATTTCCATGTCATGGTTCATTTGATGATATTTGAGATATTTTCTCATTAATAAAATAGGCAAATAGGCATTTTTTGAAGTTATTATTAACTAATAAACCATCTTAGATAATGTAACAGCAAGATTACTCAATCAACAGTCATATTGTCGGTTTGGGGCATTGTAGTAACAATTTTTAACATCGCAAATTTTTTGATGTAAAGGAATAATAAAAAGGTACTTACAATTTTGTAAAAATCGAAGTTTATCGGCTATAACTTCATCGTTGACAACCGCTGCTCCCATAACTACATCAGAATGACCATTCATATATTTTGTTAAGGAATATAAAACGATATCCACTCCAAAGTCCAAAGGCTTTTGTAAGTAAGGTGTAAGGAATGTGTTGTCTACAACGACAATAATGTCACCGAGACTCTTTGCTGTTTTGACTGCAGCGGCAATATCAACAACCTTCATGTTCGGGTTTGTCGGTGTTTCTAGCCAAAGCATCTAAAATAAAATCATGTAGATTAATATTTATTAACTAAGGACATAGATAAGAGATATTAGCCACCATAAAGTGCATAACAAGTTTAACACAAAATAATAATGCAATAAATGTTATCGTGTTAAATTGTACCTATTTACGTTGAATTACAACATTTCTGATAAAGATTGTTGTGGTTAAATCATCACGAACATATTTTTAAGTCCAAATGTAATAATATTATGACTTTTCGTCACTTTAGTCTTAACACGCACCATCAGTTTACGATAATGTTTTGACTTTACAAAAGTAATAAAGATTTGTTCTCGACCAGATGAATACCTATAATTATATTCTCAAAAATAAATGAAATTACTAGTTTACATTCAAAGCAAAGAGCATTTAACTGACCTTTGTATTTTTTTGAATTGCTTTTTCTAAGTTTCCAGGAACTGTAGTGTCCGTAAAAGTGACGTCGATTCCCATTCTTGTAACAACTTGTCTGGAATTGAAATTAATTTATTAGTTAAATTGAAGCTTTTAATAAAAAAATTGTTTACGAAACATATTGGTAACGTATTTTTTCTTATAAAGTTGTACAAATTAAAGAAATATGTGTCCAACTGACGTAGGTACCCAATAGATATTTGACTTTCTTATTTTCCTCCTCCCTCTGGAAACATGTAATAATTATAGGATGATACTTTACCTTAAAAGACGGTTTGTGCCACCATAGACATCATCAATTGAAACGATGTGATCGCCTTTACTAAGCAGCATCACAACTGTTGACATTGCGCCAAGACCAGAAGCAAAAGTAAATCCGTGTTTTCCACCATCTAATGCCGCAAGGCATTCTTCTAAAGTATTTCTAGTTGGATTTCCTGATCGCCCATACTCAAAACCCTATGAATTAAAAATGTTATTTCTATGAATTGTACTGTCAAATCAAAAACGTGTAAAAAGTAGTACCTAATGTCCCATACTAAATACATAGGAACACAATTATTTTAGTTAAGTACCGAGTTTATTAACATTTAACTTACCGTGTGTTCAGCCGGAGCCGGTTGTTTGAAAGTAGTGGACATAACAATCGGTGGCACTACGGCCGCACTTTTCCATTTTTCTGGTTCTTGACCGGTATGTATAGCAATCGTGGCAAATCCTGGTTTTTGTTTTAAAAATCCGTTGTGCGCCATCTAATTGATATTTCAGAAGCAATAAATATTAGACACATCTTGTATATTAAATACAAAAAATGTTGAACTTTTTATTTATTAAATGAATTCCCCACAAAAATAAAGTAAATTTTAGGCGAACTATCAGTAAATTATTTATACTTTCTATAAAATATTTCTACTTAATTAAAAAAACATTAATTGTTTAAATAGTGCCTGATAAGTGATTGAGAATATTTGAATAAGTAAATTTTAATACATTAACAAATTACAACAGTTCATATTATTTAACAGTAGTTCTATATTACACATATCCAAAGATATGCCAAAACGTTTATAAAAGTCTAAAAATAATTCTCCTAAAAATTGCACGCTAAAATTCAAGGTTAATGAGAATGGTACAAAAATGTGGCAAGATTTCATCAGCACGTATTAAACAAATTTTTATTATTTATTATTTGAAATATGAATTTCCAATAAGAATTGTATCTTACCTTAATTTTTTATTTCAATTGCCGCTTTATTACTTCTTATCTAACCTTTCTACACACCACCACCGACACTTGATTTACAATTCCGAATGAACTGTCTTGTATGTCAAAACGGCTTTTTAATGTACATTTTATAGTACCCGGCACACGACACTGACAGCACCACCGGCACAATAATATGAATCACTCGCATCACATTGGAATCGATCGAATGAAATGGCTTAGGAAGTATACACACGGTGACATACAACTACAATAAACATGTTTGTATCGATTGTAACCTCTGATTGTCGAAATGTCGATGTCGTCTCTTTTTTGACATGTCATGGCAATGTCATTAATTAACTAAATATATAAAGATTTACTAAAATGTTAACAGCGCTGTTTTAGCAAAATATTACCGTGCAAAAACCATTTTTCCAAACCAGTTATCGTTATTACAATAACGTTAAATAACCGTTATAAAAATAAAATAAAAATGCCATCCATTTAGAAGTAATATTCTTATAACTCAATCAAATCTCAATAATCAACTATAAATTAAATTGTTATTTCAATAGAACATCTTATTTTAAAGCTAATTATGTAGTAAGAAAAGGCAAAAGGTTTGATTATTTTTTGCAGGCAGGCAGCCAGCCTGACAGAATATTATTTCCCGCCAATTTGTAAAAGTAGCTGTCAAAATAAGAATTTCCTGCACCGGGCACCCATCGATTCAAGTTGAAAGTTGGTTTGTTTACACTTTACAATTCATAAATCTTTGAAATCGTTTTATTTAAAGGAGTAAAGTAGTGCACATTAACTAAAACAAATTTACTATGAAAATAGATAGCAAACCATTAAGATATGCTCATGCTGAAGGGCATACAGATGTATGTTATTCTGAAGATGGACAGTAAGTAAACATCTTTTATTTCTTATTGTATGCATTCTTCTATTCTCAAAACCAGTTTTACATAGTGCAACTTGTTTTGTTCAGGCATATAATAACGTGTGGCAATGACGGTGATGTAAGGATATGGGTGGATATCGAAGATGATGATCCAAACTCACATTGCGTTGGGGAAAGTGCACTGGCAGTGTGTTACAAAGACAAGAGACTGTATGTGGCCACTGATAATCATGCTGTTCAAGCATATACATATCCAGCTTTCGACAAAGATGGAATTGTCACTAGGTTTACTGCACCAGTCACACAAATCAAGTCTTCAAGTAAAATTGAGGTGGTATTCTTTGGTTTTATTATTATTCTTGCAATCCTGTCTGCATTTTAAAGTAATTTTTGTTAATAGGTTTTGGGATGCACATCCGAGAACATGGAAGCAAAACTCTGCAACTTGGAGGGTGGAGCACCTTTGTTTATCATGACAGAGCATACAGGGCCAGTACTCAGTATTGCTATTTGTCCCCACATGAAATTTTCAAGTACAGCTTGTGGAGATGGAAAACTAAGAATATGGGATATTGATACACAGAAAATTGTTAAAGAGATTTCATGTGTTCCAAAGATAAATACATTTTATGCTGCCAAAGTTTTATGTATGTAAAATTCATGTCTTTTATGCTTACTCCTTAAACTCAGACCTATATTATGTTTACAAAGTAATGACAATTTTTGTAAAAAAATAGTTTCCTGTATTGCAAGTACTAAATGATTGACACCTTCTATATAGCTTAGTAATACTGGGGAAATTTGCAATAGTAAAGGAAATAACATGAGATTACATTAAACAATCATAGGAAACATGTACACTTAGGTAGCATGTAATTCATAAGCAGCTACAATTGTTTGACTTTGTTTTAATTTTCAGGCCGTATGGATTTTGAACCAACAGAAGGAAAATACCTAGCATACCCAAACAACAGAGAAATCATATTGTTAGACTGTGAAACTTGGAGTCAAAGGATGACATTCACACATAATTTAGCAAGTATCTTAATTTGTTTTGTTTTTTTAGTTTATTGTGTTTATTAACCCATAAATCACCAAGCGGTCACCGGTGACCGCTTTCCACTAATATTACATTACATTATAGACCTTATTTGTATTGTTTAGAGACTACTTTTGTATGACCAAATTTAGGGGGTGGATTTCAACGGGTTAAGGGAAAATTAACAATTATACATTACAATAAATATCAAAACATCGAATATATAACGAACGTCATTCCACACAATTGTTCTCTCTTAATCATTACTAATGTACAACTTAAACCTTTATAACCTACAGGGTCTTGTATAAAGACAGTCAGAATATGCTTTATCTCAGAACAATTTTATAATAATTTACATAGCATTCAAACCTTACTGTACTATGCTAATGTCCGGTGTAGTGTTTAACAATGATTGAAAGTGCAATAGTAATGACTTAAACTTTTTCTTTTAGATAAAATGTGCAATCTCTCAATGTGTATTTTCCCCGTGCGGGCAATATCTGGCTGGGAGCACAGTCGCGGGTCAGGTTGCAGTGTGGGAGATTGGTTCCGGGGTGTGTATTGACATCACCACACATCCTACATCACACAATGTTTCAGCTATGGCATGGAACCCTAAAGGTAAGTTATTTCTACAACAGAGTAAGTCCAAGTCAAAGTATTTATTTCAAATAACTCGTTGAGTACCATCTTTATAGACACAATTAAAGAACAATAGGTCGCGGTCACCGGTGACCGCTCGGTGTCTGACAGTTTAATGGGATAGGTAGAAGTGCAGATCAGACATTGTATGATTTGTAGCAGTTAAAATTTTTAATTATTTACTTCTAGTATAAATAAAAATTATATAATTGACTATTTTAGAGTCAAATGACTGGACACTCTTAAATTCAGGGTCTAATAATGTCTACTAACTCGGTAAATAATAGTGTTATGCAACATTTGCAATGACCTGAATAAATAATGAGTGAACCTAATGATTACCTAGTATGATGTAGGCTTTGTGTTGCTTATCAGGCTGGTATTTATAGTGTATCTCTACCTAGACACAAAACCTGACTTTAAGACTGAACATATTCTTTTAACTAAAAATCTTGAGAAAAGCTCAAGCTTTCTCAGTATTTTCACGTGAGTAACCCACGATTTTTAGTTAATTTAGTATGTGTAACGATAGTCATTATAAAATCTGAACATATTCTGCATAATATAATGACAAGATAACTTTTTTATTAGACTCGTTGGCCAAGTGGTCTCAAGTGCGACTGCCGGGCGAGAGGTCTCGGGTTCGATACCCGGATCGGACAAAGTACTACAGGGTTTTATACATACAAAGTATTACCAGATATCAGGTGTACTGACTGTTAAAACATGAATGATGAAAAAAGGAAAATAAACTTGGTATAAGTTTATTTGAACCATCTTTTTAAGCTACTTCATTACGGAGAATTGGGGTTAGAAATGAATAACATAACTGATTGCTTACTTGATTACTTGTGTAACATTACCGAAAATTAACACTTAGATAATTTACACACGCCTTTTACTTCACATAATTCTACAAACTGTACTTTCACACTTTGACACATTAAACGGATAACTGCGAATATGAATTAATCAATTCACTGTCCATTATTAACACTACCATTAAGGTGACAAAACCGTTATACGAAGTACCAATAGCAATGACATTCGATTCATTGCATGCGTTGACTAGGTCTAGGCATTAATGGTATGATGATCAAGGCTAGGTTTAGGTCTATGTGTGCTACAATGTCTATCTATTAAGTTTACCTATTTGCCCGTTCTTTTGGCTGTGTCATTATAGCTGCAGCTCAAATGCCAGTTTCGGTCTCGATTACCGGTTCAACAAAAGTGCTATTAAGCTTTTCGTTTCTCAACATTCTCAGTAATAGTACAGAATTTATGGATATTGATATATACAGACCCGTGTGTGCCAATAACTGGCACTAAATACCCATTATTGTATGACGCCCCTGGTATAATGATTATGAACATTGCAGGCAATGGCGTACTGGCATACGTTGATGTCATGGGTCAACTAGGTATGTTGGTCAACTGCTACGGAAAGGACAGCAGTGCAGCTACCGCAGATAGTACTGATGATGTCGAAATGATCGAGAGGGTGGATGGTAAGGATAAACATGTAAATTATACTCATAATACATACATACATATGTACTCTAGGTCAAGGATAAGTAGGTACACAGTCTTCAGTCACTGTATTAGATGTGACTACTTTTCCTGTTTTTAACCTTCAGTTTTTTCAACATTTTGTTTCCTAGTTATGCCTACAGCCACTATGTATGAATAGTCGCTTGTATTGTCTTCGGGAAAGTTGTTATGAGTACTCTACTAGTACTATTTTCCTGAATTGTGGTCAGTTTTACCCTAATTATTTCTTGAAGTTTCCCAGTTATAAGGAAACATGTAGGTCTATGAATATTATCTTCCAAATAACAAGAATGTATTTCCTTTAGACAATGACGACATCGTAGATGACTTAATAGAGAATTATGAGAGTGACGATGACAATGCAATATCTTTGCAAAAGATTAAGAATGAAACATTGGGGCTTGTGGAGCAGGATGAGTCTAGGCCGGCCTCGCGACGTAATGCTACTCCAGTGCCATCTACGGTACCACCTCAAGCACCGTTTCAACCCTCATCCACTCCAGCTCATTTGGAACATAGGTAAATCAAATTTTTGCACTTTTTAAACTATTTTTTTCTTTTCACCCTTTTGGGCGTAAGTTTCAATATGTTCCTTACTCGTAGGTACATGTGTTGGAACGATATCGGCATAGTTCGCTGCCACACTGCCGAGAATGGAGAGTCGACGATAGATGTAGAGTTTCATGACACGAACTTGCATCACGGCATACACTTGAACAACTACCTGAACCATACAATGGCCAGTTTGTCTTCTACTGTGGTAGCTTTAGCCTGCGAAACGCCGAGGTGAGTACAATACTTTTAATTTGTATCTATTAGGTACCTACTTTTTAGATGCTTATAAGTAGATTTCGTTTTGTTTTATCTTAAGGTTTTCCAGGAGTTTGTACATAAGTTTATGCATAATTTGATCATAAGTCAAGTTAAAACATTAAGTATTTTGTTTTGTGTGTGTGGCAGTAAGTTGGTCTGCATATCGCTGGTGGGCAGCAGCAAGGAGTGGAG